TTCAGTCACATATTTCAAGTGTTGCAATATCCCAGCAAAAACAACTTGAGACTAAACAAGTAACTGCAAGAGAAATCAAGAGAACTGGGAAAAAAGTTTTTAAGACTGGAACTAAAAATTATGATGGACCAACAGAGTTACATGATGGCAAGCAAAAAGTAAACATCCACCTCAGCTGTATGCGATCTTGCAGATCACAAGATACACTGGCTCGCAGTCCCCAACGCAGTGCCCCAGCCACGCTCCTCTGGAAAGAGGAGGAGGGACTCTTCCCGACGTTGCTAGGATAGAGCCCTGCTCTGACTTGGAAGCCAGCTATAAGCTTTTCAGGGAGCTATGTCATGAGGATTTTGCCAAAGAAAGCATCTTCCTTCTGATTACAAAAGCTTCAGAAAGGCTCTTTCTTCTATAATGAAAAATCTGTTTTTTGTTTTTTGGGTTTTTTCTATGATGTGAACTGTAAGATGACTAGTTTCCCTACCACCTTCAAAAGCATAAACTGTTCAGCACGAACAGAGCTTGGATATTTGCTAAGCTTTATATATAGAGGTATCAACAGAACAGCTATGCCCACTTAGAGAAAACCAGCACGCATCTAAATGAAAACCTGAAGAAGAAAAAAAAAAAAAAGGAAACACAGACATGTAGCAATAGACTGTTTGCTCAACTGTTTGCTCAGAACACGACAAACAAGAACTGTAAAGCAGGTCTCAGCCCTGACGTTTACTCGGCGTTTTGGCACCAGTCTGCACACATGCACAGGCAGACAGCAGGCCAACTGCAAACTTCCCCAAACCATTATTCCCAGTGCCCTGGCGCGCACAGGGGCGGGCAGCGTGTCTGCAGGCAAACCAAACACTGCGGAAGGAGGCTGCTATGCTCCAGGAAGGAAGACTCAAGAGAGACAAGCCAATCGTGTCTTTTTACCTACCAGTACAAGTTTTACCCCTCATGTATTATTAATAGCCAGCACAGTAGTGTTCCAAAAAATGCATTCACTGCGAAAAAAAATAAAGTATCAGGCACGTTGCTTTGTGAACCTAAATACCAAAGTGAAACACTTCTGCTATTTCTGGCCATGCCAAATACAAAGAATTTTCTAAGAAGTCTGCAAAAATGTTATACTTTAAAAAGCATTAATTACCACTTTGGATGTATGTCTACAATTTAAGCTACGCTCCATGAAATCCTCTGAAGTAGCGCGGTGAAGATTTCTGGACATTTTTTCTAGCATTGCCAGAATTATGTCACCCGCCCATCTGCAACGTTATGACTAATGAAGAGAAAAATTTCTACATTGTTTTTGCAAGACGCTTACTATTAATTTTTAAGTGGGAACTTTCACAAACATGAAAGCAGAGTTAGCTCTCTAAAATCAAAGCACAAGGATAGGCATGAAATATGACTAAGCTGTGGAAGAACTGGGAGGCAGACGGTTACACAGAAGAACGACTAAAGGATCACAAAAGATGTCACTCTGGACACAGCAGGAAGACCGTGGGGTTTTTTCCCCCCTCCTACTACATACCTGTCCTCCCTGCTAAATCTGAATGCATCACCTTTCCTCATATTTTGTTTTAGAAATCTTCTAAAACTCTACTTTGCTCTTACATGCCAAGGACTTGAAAAACCTTATTTTTCTCTCTTATACACACTACCTACCTATTCTTTCTCACACTGCAGGCCCTATTCCCTCCCCTCGGATGCCAGGATCTCCATGCATGCCTCCATCCCCTTTCTCAACTCATCCAAATCCACGGAACAGAAAAACTGTACACGATAAAGAAGGATTTGGTACAAACACAAAAATGCAAGCAGCATCAATGTCAGTTCTTTTTAGTTCACAGTCTTCTCTGTCAGTGCCAAACATCAAATTTATGGAAATTCATCAACCTCATTTGGGTCAAAGCAAGTCCCCCTTAAGAAAGGCTGCCTCCTAAACCAGGAAGCTAGAAGCTGTCTTACAGTATTCTGCCATTCTTTTCCATATACTACCTCTTTTTTTTGTCCCCAAAGAGCATTCCAGCACCACACAGGTAGTAACCATCTATACTGTGCAAGGACAGGTATATTAAAAGAAAACAAACACTAAATTACCCCCCAAAATTGCATGTTGACAGTTTCAAATAATTATTTATTAATAGCTGTTTAACAAACCCCAGCTCAACGGAAAGATAGAATGTTCTAATATTGCATTTCTTGGCTCAGGGTACTCATTCATATTTTAATCTTGCTCTCCAGTCATGGGTTATGTATTTGCTGTGTCATTTGCTTTTTTCAACATACAGGCCTTCAACTAGGCCAGAAGTAACACAATCCCTTGCACCCTGGTTTCAGAGTTACTGAAATTGAAGCTCAATTAAAAAAACCCGCTAAAATATGGTCAACCATTTTGATAAATTGTTACCTTATTGCAATACTGAAAATGCAACTTTGAGTCCTAGAGACAGGACTTTCATAGCAGCATTTCCTAACAGAATTCCTAAAACACTGAAAGCACATCAATTTGCATCAAGTGATCTTAAGCATTATGCACTCCAGCACTTCCTAACAGGCTCCAGATGTCAATTATCTCATTTTAGTTCTCATAAATGAGAGCAGCTATCTACTTGTTCCGATTTGTTCCCTTTCCTTCCTTGAATCTCAGCTCTCCTGAAAAAGAATCTTTATAACCAATAGGCAATAAGATTCACTGTAAGTTTCTCAAAAGATTGTATCAGGAACCTAAGGAAATGCCCAGATATAATCTGATAATATATACTTCTTAAGTGTTCAGAAAGCCACAAGTTCTAGCAATACCATAACTGAGCATAAGAAAGGAGATTTTAAACACAAGCTTTACACCTGTGCCATTACTGGGAAATATATTATTCCATACAATATGAAAGTGTGTTATATTCTCAAGTGAATGACAATTTATTTGTGTGTTGATGACAAAAAACTTTCAAGTGCAGACATGAATCCATGCATTGGCCCTTTTAGCTGATTAAGAATATCCTTATTTACCTTTTGCAGATTCTAAGTAGTGCATGGATCAAAGCAATCCATAAGCAACAAATCGAGAACCACTGGTGTACCAAAATAAATCCCAATGACAACAGATATGAATTCTGTTAGAAAACTGAGATTATAAATAAAATTAAAGCACATAACCCTGAATTTAAAAAAGCAGAGTATTTCCCAAGTGTCAAAAAAGGAACAGCTATCTACCCCTGTTTTTTTCAAGACTGTATTTTCAACAACTAGTACTCCAAAAAGAACTAAACCACAATACAGTAAAAAAGTTAAAGCTTCAGCTCACTCCCCTCAAGAACCCTATAGTCATGACAAGAATAGAACAGTACCAATAGTTCTTTAAGCTTAGCTGACATCCGACAAGAATGCTGCCACCACCATACTCTCCTTCCTCAGGACAGGTAGCGCCATAATTAAAACGTTTCATCTAAGAAAACATTTGAAGCAATGACTTGACAATTTAAGGAAGAAACATCACTCCTCACAACTATCATAGAACAGATGCAGTGTTTCCATGGAGAAAAGCAAGTCGTCTGCCCATGTGGTAGGGAAACAATAAGGACGTTCTAGAATAGAAAGGAATAATGTTTGAATTGACTCAAAACAGACTGCATAAACTCCGTCTTCAGCATGCAGACACACACAGTCTGACTCTGTGCAGGGTACTTTGAGGCTGGAACACTACTCTCATAGTTTATTCCTATAGTAAAGTGAAACAACTATTCTAATCGATCATCATCCACTATCAGTCATGCACGAGTTCTTCAAAACATTTCAAATCAAAAAGATTAATATTAAACTTAGTTAACACCATTAAGAGACTAAATACTGTTGGCAAATGCCTTTCAATGCCAACACATTTCTAAGCGCAAAGAAGATACCACTTAAATGTGTTAATTCTGCTAAGCATACCAATGCTTTGCAAAATACATGTAAACACGAATAACAGATAACAGTAAATATTCGAAAAGGGTTGTGTAGAATAGATAACTCTGCTGAAAATCTCACAGGCACCTGTAACCAGAGAAGATCACATGCAATCCCAGTGGCAGTCAACTAGGAGGTATCTAGAAAACAAATTCTGACCGTACCATGAAGAAAATGTAACATGTACAAAATAAATCAGAAAATCCTTTCCGCAAAGAAGCGAAAATGTATTTCAAAGACCACCACAATCCAGTAACTTCACTTTCCTGAGAGAAAAACAAACACACCACATGAAGCACTATGTTTGAAACAGCAGCCTCAACAGCATTTCTTAAATACCTGTTTCATAGTCTTGATGTTCATACCACTACTGCCAAGCCTGCAGATGCTCGTGAATCATTCCTCAAATATCCTGACAATGGTTTAGAGAAAGTAACTTGGAAATTTGAACCTGGAAAGTTTTCTCCTCTGGTTCACAAGTGACTCTAAGAGCTCAGACTCTTCATGGTTACAAATGCTTACAACTCCTAAAATTACTGCAATCTTAAAAGTTTAAAGTGTATAAAGCATCTTCTGTATGATTCAGATCTAATCTTACTACAGCTCTAAAAGTTGTACTTGCAATCTCCTGGGCCATTATATTTCTGTAAAAAGTGGGTATATGTGTCTCCAAGAGCACTTGAAATAATGCCTTTAGTTGAATTCATAGGCTTTTAAAATGCATATGAAATTTAAAAACACAACCACATTTCAGCTTTGAACAAAATAAATGCCTTTGCATTGCACTGCTATTTTGCTCTTTGCTACCTGTAAGAATATTTCCTTCTGTGCAAGAATATGCCAGATCAGAGACCAACTTCTGAAAGGTTCGGACAGGAATGAGAGTAATTCAACCACAACAGGTCCACTGGCCAGACTGGGACATACCCACCACCATCCTTACTGAAACAATTCCAGATGACGTAGACGTAGCAGAGGGATAAACTGCAGAAAGCAAACAGCCTCACACACTCTCCCTAAATAGCATTTCCTATTGCCACCATCTTGTTTTGTTTCCAAGGAGGAATACAAGTGTAGTCCTCCACTACTAGATATTATGCAGCCAGATTTCTCCCACGAGGGAAAACTGCAGTGTCAGCAGAGCGTGAGGGCTGAGCCACATCCCGGAACAACAGTCTTCCTGAGCACGCTGCCTCCTCTGCCACATTCGGGGTCTATTGGAGATACTTCATATTGGGCAACCAAAAGGACTGAATCACCATTTTGCAAGCACTGGATTACATTTACAATGAAATAATCCCACAGCACACAATGTCCATTGTACGTGTCACACTAAGCTTCAAAGTCAGTTCTGTAACAACTGCAAGCAGTTCAACCAAAAAGATGGATACAGAAGCCTTCATGCATTAATTTTTCGGAACTTCTCATGTAATGATGCAGCACGCGTCCCATTCCTAGCCATTTACTACCCAAACACAACCATTTTGGAGCTATGAATTCACATCAAGGTCTCTGCATTTAGCCACTGAAAGTCAATTACTGAAATGGTAAATGAACTTCTCTCTAAACCTAATGCTCATGGCTTAGTGCAAATTCAGCATGTTTTGTCAGCTCCAAAGCATTTACTGAATGAGTAGCAAGTTCAGACTGAAACAAGCCAGAAAGCACAGTAGGCATTTGATAACAAAGCAAGTCACAAACAGCAAATTATTATGGTACTGATGTAACATCCTCTGTAGTGTTAAACCAAATGGATTATCTGAACATTGCTCAAGAATTTAACTGGATTTCAGGGATTAGGCTGTGGGATTACAGAGGCATCTTCAGGTATAATTTAAATTGAAATTAATAGAATTTAAGAAAGAATTTATATATAAAAGAGAATTAAGCATTAAAGATTTCAATAGAGTAAGGGTTGGCATTTGGGAGTCTACATTCGGTTACTCATTCAACACAGCAATTAGAAGAAATGGAGCATTTAAAAACACAACCTCAGTTTTGTCTCCCAGAAACCATGGATTTTTATGTTAATTAATCACGTAATATGATGATCTGAATATATTCTTCAGGTATATCACTACCATAAGAAAAACCACTAAAATAATGTGCATCATTTAATTCGATATATATCATGCTAAGTGCCATCAGATCATATTTATTTGGCTTCTAGATGCTCTGTTTATGGGCTGGCATGTGCCTATCAAACCAGTGGGCTGTATCTCATATTTAAAGGTAGAAAAAATTTTGCATTTAAAACTCAGCTGATCGGGTAGAATAAAAAAGAAATCCAGATCTTTCTCTCAGATCTGTTGCTTGCAGGTAACTGTATCAGAAACAAAAATGTAATAATAAGCAAAAACACCTCCTACTTTATATAGGATCATTCTTCTTAGGACGTTCTACTTCAGCTCATTCCAGCTCAATCCAATAATAACCATCATACGAATTCGGGAGAGGTATACCCTTCACAAAGCCAAACACTCACCCTGTGTGAACCACAAAGCCTCAGTTTCTCATACCATGTTTTTAAACACAAATATGAATTTTATAAGGGGCAGATTCTCAAAGAAGCGCATCTCTGTTTATTTTAACTAGGCATGACTATTAAATTAACAGAATGAAAGCAATCCTTTGCTCCTCTGAAGTGCCTTCAAAAGTCACTACCAGGACTACTCCAGGAAATTACTGTCACATGCAAGTATTAGTACGTCTTTAACTCAAAATACAGTTTGCTTTTACCACCATAAAAATACAAAACCAAAAGCTTGTAATAAATTTGGAAGTCTGCCCACTGGTATGACACAGCTCTTTTGACAGTGTCATTGATTTGATGACCATAACTTGAAGAGCAGCTAACATATTACTCAAACTGAATCATATATATACGATCACTAGCAGTGGTTCTGAAAAATCTTTCAGCTGTATTTTAGAGGGCTTTTGTTTAGACAACATTAGTCTGAAGCAAGTAGTATGTTTGGTGAAACAAAGACACCCAGAGGATATTCAGAACAGTCCCGGCACTGTAACACAAACACTATGCCTTGTCATCACTCATCCCACTATCAAGCAACCATCACACCACAGTATAAGGACATCCCCATAAATAGCTACTAGCTTTCTGTAACTTCAAAGAGTGAATCTCTGTTTCCTTAAGAGCTCAGAAGACACTCCTACTTTCTTGTACACTTAGAAGGACTGGGGAAGAACAAAATTTGTTGTTTGGGAATCAATCCAAATGCACCACGATGCTGTCCCTCATTAAGGGCACGGCTAATCCAGAGCTCAACCAGCAAGTTCAGATTTGTTTAACTGAGACCGACAGACACTGTATTTCTGTATCATGGTGATGACTTGAACTATTTTCCATGTGAGTTCACAGATCCATAGCACATTAAGGACCAAAGACTTTTAGATTATCTTTCAACATTACAGCTTTTATGGCAGCCAGGCCTGCACAGAAATCTGTATTTCTCCTTTGATTTTGAACCTGCTGAGTAGTTTCAACTAAATAAAGTAAAAGGCAGGATATTTCTTTAAAAAAATATATAAAATATTCTGACAAGTGTCACAGAAGTACATCAACCAGTAGGAGGGAAACTTGTGTACAAATAGTCTTGAGTTTCTCCTAATGACTTTAGATCAGACTAAACAATTTGAGGCAAAATGGAAAATCTAAGTACTGCCATCAGTAAACTTGGTAGCAGCAGGTTATCAATGTGTTTGGAGATCATATAAAATTTGAATATAATATAGTTAGAAAGGCAACCATTATGAGATGCAAATCCACTGAAAATTAGAGGGTTTTAGTGACACTGCTAAGTTAGTAAATAAAACGTGGCTGGTTTTCTACCTTGGAAAGCACAGGATATTCGCTGCAAAGTGGATAAACAGGATTCTCTCTGTGTACGTTTGGGAAGGGGAAAAGGCAGGGTAAATTCCTGTAACCAAGAAACTGTACTAAGAACAAGATGAATCAGATCAAAGCTAGTAAGAGGCTTAGGACCTCAAACCATCAGCCAGATATTACAGCAACGCGATGAGGAAGGTAATTCATTACAGCTTCCGCTCTACTTACAGATTTCAATTCTGCATCAATGACATTTTAAGTCACCTCATCTTATCATTCTATAACTCGCTATGCTCATTCAGATTCCTAAATGCCTTGAGATCATCAGTAAAAAGATATACCATTGAAACACAAAGACTTAGACTGCTGAATACGAAGCACAAGTGGATGTCTGTAACAGTAAAAAACTATTTTGGGCTAGCAATTTGTGAGTAATTTTTTCTCAATCTATGTTGCTATTTCTAAACACAGTCTGTTCAATTTTTTAAAAAGATTCTCATCTTTAATTAATAAGGAAGAGCTGATAACTGCTAAAAAGCATTTAAAAAAATATCACAGAAAACATGACGCAAACTCTAACACTTCAAGTTGCCACTGTACACACGCATTATAAAAACGTTGCTGCTGTAGTCTATTAAAAGATCAGAAAGCACATGATTCTTCTAAGCACACATCATTCTCTACAGAATGAATCAAGGATTGAGAAGCAGACAAAGTTTGCACCCAACAAATAACTGCCACCTCTTCTGGTAAGCCTGCTATCAATACTTACTACTTTTCCTACATTTTTCCAAGGGAAACTCTTGACTTTCCCAAAAGTTCTCCATTTTGATCACAGATCATTATTATTACAAAGAGTAATTTGTTTGACCGTCCGCACTGACTTCTGATGAAAATGTCCTTCAACCATTTCACTAAGTGCATTCAGTCCACAATAACAACTATGATTTTGGTATAGTGGAGCACAAAGATTAAGTTATTTGGGATCTAAAGTCTAAATGAAAGTTTGAGAAGGAAAATATAATCTGTCAGCCTCAAAACCAAAAGCATATAAACAAAGACACAAGCCTTCTCCCCAATGCAATTACAACTGAAGCATCTGAAACAAAGATGCTGCTTTTTATAGTAAGAATTTAATTTTGATAGACTTGGGTGAAACTGTAACTGTTTCACACTCTTTGAAAACATCAAGTCAGCAATCCCTTTTTAGCTCTCCATGTTCTTAGCCTTTTAAATTAGCACCATGACTGCTATATGGCTGGCATATAATAAAGTAGAAGTACAAATACAGAACTTAGATAAATATTGCTGTGATTGAGTGGATGCCACTGCCAAGCAGAAAAGCTGAATGAGTGTCAGATAAGCTAACTCTATCAAATACCAAGATTCTCTCTTTGCCTTGCAATTTCCCCTCAAAATAAGCTAAAAATATAAACAGCAAGATTATAAGGATCAGAAAAACTGAGCAGCTTTTAACGGTGTTTCTCCTTGAAGCAGCAGAGTGAAGACATGTCTTATAAATTAAAAGAATGTATGGTCCTATTCACCCAAGAGTCTTCTGTCTGATTTTGTACAAACAACCGATGAGACATTCCAGGTGGAAAACAGTTAGGCAGGTGCTAAAGTAGAAACCTGTACAGTCTGTGCCTCAATAAATCTTCTAAAAATCCTTTCCAGCCTTTCAGAGACCAGGAGCTAGATACCAGACTCGTGGGTATTTCTATGGGTCAGCTGTACCACTCTAAGTCATGCGAGGGCAACATCACTCTGCAAAAATAAATGCATGCAGAGGACAGACACCTGGACAAGCACAGACATATTAGTAGATGTTTGCAATCATCAGGAACCGTGCTGCTGACAGAGCTGGCTTCAGTTCTGCTAGTCAAGAAGAACGAAATGGTTGCTCCAGCAGAAATTGGCATCTAGCTGGGGGCAGCTGAGATTACAGCTAATGCAGTATATAATTGCCTTTCATTAAATAACAAAACACCATCCATCTGAAGCATTTCTAAACATGCCAGTCCAATAAGGACTCCAGTGCGTTACTTTTATATGTGCCAGCAGAGCCAGCAGTCCCTAAGGAATGCCAGAAAATTAAACAAGAGCTGCATTCATTCATGGTCATCATGTTCAAACATTAGAAAACTTGCATTCAACATACGGAGTTAACATTTGACCTGAATGTTTTAGAGAGGGAAAGAAAGCAGTTTTGAGAAATCATATTGGCAAGACAGATCACTGTTTCTTCTGAAGGAAGATCTATTTTGAAATATTCTCAGTCACTCCCAATAAAAACTTTAAACAGGGCTAAAAGGATAAAGGGAGGAACACTAAAGGAATGATCCAATCTGCCTAAGCTA